CGTGAGGTTCGGGGAGGCAGAGGAGACAAATCTGGTGAAATTCGTGGTCACGACGTTAGGACAGGCATCATTCCCGCGACCTCGCCCGCCGCTGCGCCCCAGCCTCCGAAACGCCCTGCGGGCGGAGCCCCGTCTCTCACAGACAGGTGGAGCTTCGCGTGAAGAGGCTGCGGCAGCTGGCCCGCGCTGATAGTGCGATCATGCCATATCTTGCCTGCCTTTGCGCTTGCATTGCGACCATACCAATCTTGGTCGGCACGGATTTGATGATGAAGGCGACCCCTCGGTCCATGCGTGTCTGCTCGGATGGATCCGTACCCCCGCCATGCTCGGGAGTTGGCTATCCGTCCCTCACGCGTCGTGGACTGCCCAGTCGCTCTGCCATTCGGCGACTCGACGCTCCTCTGTCCTGCTCCGCCCCCTTGCTTCCGACCAGAAGTGGGAGCTGCAAGCAGTTTGGTTGACGTTGTCTGCGCGTTGCTCTCGGAACGCGTCGCGAGCCCAGTGCCCGCTATCATTATGTGTCCTAAATGGCGAGTTCGATATGGAATCACCCTCTCCTGCCCCTACCCCCCTCTTTACCTCGGCGTCCTCTGTTCGCTCCCTCGTCCCCTGCGTGTGCTCAGGGCGCGTTCGGCAGAGGTTGGGACTTGTGGGGCGTGGCGCTCACGACCGCCTCGCCTCCTTGGCCAGACTTTGCTTCTGCCCCCGGGGCCTGTGCGATCGTACTCAGAGAAGGCATATTGGCAGCCTTCGTCGCCCTGTCCTCGATCGCATCACGTGGCTCGCGCCTCCTCGAAGGTCCCACCTGCAGGTGCGATCGTGGCAGGCACTGATGTGGGAATGGCCAGCGCTCGGCATCTGCCCCGTGCGGCCACAGCTAATTGGTTCGTTGGTGGGCAACTCGGCGAACGCCAATGTGATAGACTAGCGTGTAGTACTGAGTCTGTGCTTCGTTGCTAGCATGCGTTCTCGATCGCCTTTTGCTGTTTGCGCCATTCATGAGAAATGGCCGCAGGCACAGTCAAATTCGGTGACTTGCCGGCACCTGTGGAACATATACGGCCGTACGCGTGTTTGTTCAAGTTCTCCCATTGCCCACCCCGCTTTCACCAAGATTGAAGCCAACCGCTTTGGTGACGGTGTCTGCGCTTCATTGCTAGCATGTGTTCTCAGCCGTCTTGTGCGTCTTGCACAATATGTGAGAAATTGCCGCAGTGATAGCCACATCACCGTTATCATCGCTATCACCGTCATCATTCCAATCATCATGATCATTACCACCGTCATCCTATCACTACCTTTGAAGCACACCCCCACACGCTTCGTGATCCAATAGGGAACTCCGCCGAAGGTCCCACTGACAAGGGCCGCATTGGGTCCCTTCGATCATTTCGGCACGCCCATCGCACGCTTCGTGGACACATGGGGCGTCCCAAACATGGCCTTGCCTTCGAGGATCGCAGAAGGTGCCATCTCTTCCGCGGCGGAAGCTGGCGGATGGTCGGCGGAAGGCGGCGGAAGCAAAGCGAGGGCGCTTCTGCCGGCGGAAGCCGGCAGAAGTTGCCCCTGCGAGAGCTGGGGAGGACCAACACCAGAAGAGCATTGCCCACCGCGAGCTCCAGGACCGCTTTTGGGATACCTGCAGGTCTGCACTGAGCCAGCTACCACAGCGGGTCGCCCTTGTTATGACCATGGACGCTAACGCTGCCATGGCGCCCCAGCTCCCGCACGTTGGCTACGCAGGTCAGCGCCGCACATGCACTAACCTGAACGGCAACAGCGCTCGCCTGCTAGACCTCCTCCAGACGTTCCACCTGTCGGCTCTACCTTCGGCAAGCGCTCGAGACAGAATGGTACATGGAAGCACGTGATCGGCAAGGGATGGACGACCATAGACTGCGCATGTGTCAGATTATGCGGCGCCTACGGCACCAGAGCTTACCCCCTCAGGGACCTACCAGTTAGCCTTGGAGGATATCGCGACCACCGCCCAGTGGAGGCCCACATCTATGCTGGAGTGCGGGCGAAAAGAATTCTTGAACCCAAGCCAGCCAGATGGGACCGCGAAGCTCTGGTAAGGGACCTACGCCATCTGAGAGATGAGAATGCCGATGCCCCACCTCATTTGGATGCTATGCGCGACCACCTCGAGACCCTTCTCCGCCAACGCAATCTAACCCAGCAGTGGCATCAGGTTTGTGGAGAGGGCCAGCAGTACGGCACACCCTCGGACGACTTCAATGCGCTGGAGCATTCGCTGATTGAGGCCGCGGTCCCGCACTACCTCCTCCAGCCGATGAAGGCGAGCAGACCGAAGCTCCAGGACGCGACCTTGGCGTTGATAGACCTGAAGCACGAGATCCAGAGACGCATGGCCTTCCATGCGGACCAGACCACCCCCACGTACGGCCACCTCCAGTCCAAGTACGACGAGGCCGCCAGAGCAGCAGCCAAAGCAGTTCGAGCGGAGCGCCGCCAGCGCCTAGCCGAGACGGCAAATGAAGCAGAAGCAGCTGAGGCCGCCATGAACCTCCGCCGCCTACATGCCGTGGTGCGGCGCCTGGCCCCCAAACCCGTCGCCTTTGTCGTCACGGCCAACAACCCCGCAACAGGCGGGACCTGCCAGGACGCCGAGGAGGAGGTCGAGGTCCGAGCCTGAGCTTTGTGCACCATCTTTGACGGGACCATTATTGACATGAACAGCCGAGGCGGACCCCCAGGCCTCCTTCCGCGCGATGACACGCGCATAGGCACCTACAGCGTTAACGACATAACGAAGGCCACCCACAGCATGCCGAACTACAAGAGCGCCCCAGTCCTCAAGATGCCAGCGATCAGCGACCATGAGACCACTAGCGAACCCAACGCCGACAGCCACGTCGACCAGCCCTTCGACGGACCCGTCATTGAGATGTGGAAAGTGTGCGTTTCTGAAACGGCCCCAGCCTTGCAGAACGTCTTCCACGCCTGCCAGGCCCTCGGCCACTCCGCCCAGCGCTCCAAGGACGGGGAGACGGTCTCCCTCGGGAAGCCGAAGGGCGACGGCAAGAGCGCCAAGGACCACACCAGCATTATCAACCTGACCAACCATATCGGCAAGGTCTGTATGAGTGTTACTGTCATGCCCGAGTTCAGAGGACTGGCGTCTCGACTTTCATTTTCGCAGTTCGGGGCTCTGGCTGGCAGGTCTACCCGAGATGCCTTGGCGGTCGTAGCTGAAGTTATCCGAAGGTATCGCCTGCGTGGACGCAGGTCGCGGCTCGGGTCAGGCACCACACCTGGGATGCTCCTCGCCGTTCTGATTGACCTTGAGAAGGCGTTCGGCCTGATTGATCGGGACGAGATTTGGAACGCGCTCGAGACGCTCGCTGTCAAGCGCAGCGTCAAACTCACGGTAGAAGAGCTACATGCAGGCACGTGCTACATTGCCCGAGACACCAGAACCAACATGCCTAGTGGGAAGCTTCTCATCCCGAAGGGGGTCCGCCAGGGCAGCGTCGAGGGCCTGCTGTTATTCGTTGCAGTTGATGACCTCCTCTCGTCGGCCCTCGAGAGCAGCCGCTCCGTTTCTGAGTTTCCAGAAGTGTACGTGACCTTGGACCCTGAGCTCAAAAATATTAGACACCAGCATAACCTCATGGGAGGCGAAGGAGAGGAGAGGACGGTAGTATCGCCGATAAAGTTCGTTGATGACCTGATCGCCTTCACCGTCGCCGAAAACTTCGAGACAGCCTCTAGATGCCTTGCCTTCCTGCGCGTCGAAATCTAGAAGGGCAAGATGAAAGTAAACGGCGCTAAGACAGAGATAGTAATATTTGCGACGGGCAACATGAACAAGCAGCGCAAGACTAAGATCATAACCAAACAAACGAACATCATGATGCACACCACACCAGTACATGCTACAGCTAGTGTCAAATATCTTGGTGCTAAGCAGCGGGAGGATGGTTCGATGGTGGAGGAGGTAACGCACATCATTCAGGGTAGTAACGCAGCACATGCACGCCTAGCCCGTCGAGCGTTCGACTTCGCGTTCGACTTCGCGTTCGACTGTGGTGCGCACTAGTTCGATCGACCCTCCTCTATGGCCTCGAGGTTGCCGCCGTGACCAAGCGTGACCTCAACAGACTTGAGCGATGGCAGACCCGTGAGCTCCGCTTCCTTGCCCGTGCTCCCGCTCACGCCCACCATGTCTGTAATGAGGAGGTCAGAAGGCTCGCGCGCGTGGCGACGGAAGCCTCAACCTTGCTAGAGAGACGGCTAGCATGGTGGACAGGAGTTGCACGGCCAACACTCCCCGACCCCATGAAGAAGATGACGATGATGACGCCCCCAGGTGCGATCCCTCCCGTCTGGTTCGCGCAGTTGTGTTCGGCAGATTCAACTTCGAGGGCCCCCGCCATAAAGAGGTCAACTGGTCAACTCTCTCCTGGGATTCTCACGTGAGGACTTGAGGCAGCTCTGGCAGACCATGGACCCTGAGGCCCAACACGATGCCCGTGATGCCCATGCCCTGGATGATCCCGAACCCGCTCCGACCCGCCCGTGGCTTCGATGGTTGCGTCAAGTTCCCCGAGCTCATCTTCGGCACGTGCGAAGGTATGCAACAGAGGGCGACGCGAAGATAGCCGCGGGCGTGGCCCCTGCCCCTGAGGTGATGATCACGTGCCCAGTGTGTCCCCGTATGTGCCAAGGCCCCAAAGGATTGGCCAATCATGCGTTTTCGGTCCACAAGAAGTACGCCAAACCCACGGACCGCACAGAGGACCAACTGAGATCCCTAAGGTGTCCCAGGTGTTCTACTTCCTTTAGCCGAACGGATGCACTTGTTCGCCATATTCAGAAAAATCGGTGTCGTGCACCACAGGCGTGCGAGGCTCAAGACCCTGAGACGGCAGCCCCAGACCTTCCAGGCCCGCCGGCTCCACCCCCCCCGCCAGCCGCGCATGTGCACCCCGACCGCGGAGATCCCCAGCGGGGCGAAGCGCAGCGCGGAGGGGCCCCCAGAGGGGCGAGCCAACGAGGAGAAGGAGACGACCCCTAACGGCAAGCTCCAGTCCTTGATGTGCCGCTTGCTACTCCAGCACGAAGCCGCACACCAGGCCGCGGCGCGCGACGACAACCTGACGCTGACCTTGAAGGAGGGCCAGAAGCTCGAGGTGGCGCTGGAGACAGGCTACCAGGAGCACGCGCGAGTGGGCAAGACCGCTCGAGAGGGCGACGACTTCAAAGGCCACCCGATGGGCAAGAAGCCAGATGCCCTCCTGAAGATTATCGTATGTCGGATCTCCGAGGCCGCCTCCATCAACCGCGAGAAGCTAATGAAGACAATCGAGCAGGGCCCCCACCCCCAGGCCGCCGCCGAGGCCGTCGGAGTTCTAGAGAGGTGGGGCCAGCTCGCGCAGAACCCAGACGCGATCGCGAAGGCCACCAGATGCTTCAAGATCAAGCTCAACGCCGAGGGCGAGGATCAGGTACGCTGGATCTTTGCGTGCAACTACCATCCCGACCTGAAGGCCGCCTCGAACGTGCTGCGCCTCGACGGAGGCATGGAGTCTGTGGCGATCCTGCTCGGTCACGATCACGGCCCGAGGTCGAAGGTCGCGAAGCAGATCGAGCAGCTCGCATTCAGGGACGATGGCAGGGCGAAGTCCGCAGGCAAGAAAAAGTCGAGGAAGTAGCCGAGCCCCGCCCCCGAGCCCGTGGAGCAAGTGGTGCCAAGGCGCCTTCGAGCCTCACACTGACGGCCATCTTTGATCTCAGCGATCCGCGGCGGGATGATAGCTTGGCAGTTTTGTGCGGGATGAACGCATACTCCCGCACCATAGTTCTGACAATGGTGAGCGACGTTGGTGTGGAGATCAGGATTTGCCTCATTTTCGCGTTTGGATTCGTGGGCGGACTGAGCATGCGAATGAGATCGTGGGTTTACCCTGAGGCTCCGGTCGTGCCACCGCCGCCGCCCGTTCTTCCTTCGGTCTCGTTTCCTCGGGCGCCCTGTTTGGGAGGTGCTGCCCCGAGGCCCTAGAGGGGGCCCGAGGGCCGCGCCCGCAGCGCCGCCTCCGCAGAGGCGGGGGCGCGCGGGTGCGGGGCCCTGGCTCCCCGATCCTCTCGCGCGTTCCTGTCCTGGGCCCATCGTCTAAAATACAGGTTTTTAGATGCGCCGATTTCGGTAGGTTTTACATGGCCCCTCACGAAGCGTCCGATAAAGCGTGCTTGGGCGCAGTGCTGTGAAAAAGGAAGCAAACATCGACCTCCTGAGAGATGCCCGCATGTTTGGGTTCAGGGTTTCCGGAACTGGCCACATTAATTGACACGAAGGCCCCATTGGCAGGGCCCGCATGGCTCCAGCCCGCCCATGCCAACACATCCGTCATAAGCTTAGTGGACCCATGAGGAACTTCAAGGACCGCCACCGTGGCAGGGCACGCGAGGTGCCACCTCGTCGGGCTCAGCATTCTCCTCTCACGCTCCGTGGCCCCATAGGGAAATCCACCGATTGCCCCACTTTCAGGGTCCGCATGGCGCCACCCTGCATTTTCGGCACACCTCAAACGGTTCGTCGCCCGCTGGGGAGCTCCACCGGAGGCTTCAGTGGCAAGGTCGCATGCCAACCCATTCACACGATTCGTTGCCGTTTCCTCCTCCCTTCCGCCTTGCAACGCTTGGAGGCGGAACACAAACTGCTCCACTTTATTCGTCACGCGGCAGCGTAGGGGGAGCAGGGGGACGATTCCTTCTTCCCTCGTCACGTGGCATCGCACCGGGTGCGGAAAAATGCCCCTTCACTCTTGCGCACGCGAGCTCGTCTGGCGAGCTCGTCTGCCCGCCACCGCCCGCCTGCCTGCGCGCCCGCCCGCCCGCCCGCGCGCACGCCCGCTCGCCACCCCGCCCGCCCGTTTGGCCGCGCGCCCGCCCGCCCGCTCGCCCACGCGCCAGCCCACTCACCCGCCTGCCCGCTCGGCCACCCGCCGGTATCTGGCCGTCCGCGCGCATTCTCGCCCGCCGTCGCAAAGCGCTTACCTCCTGCGATGGCCCCCCCAGTCCAGATTTACTGAGCCGTGTCTAGGTATACGTATGCCCCCACTGCCGCCCAGAAAATCAGTAAAACCTTTTTTATGCCATGTTCTCTCTCTCTCTCTCTCTTTCTCTCTCTCTCACTCTCTTTATTTCTCTCTTTCTGTATGTCTGTCTCTCAGTGTCTTTTTGTTCTCTCTCTCTCTCTCTGTATATATAGATCGTTTTGTTGTTTCTCTCTCTCTCTCTCCCTCGTGTGTGTTATGTCCCCCCCTCTCTCTCTCTTCTCCCTCTCTCTCTCTCTCTCTCTCTCTCGCGCCCCATCCACCTTCTAATCCTCGTATTTCCCCCCCTTCCTCCTCCTCCTTCACCTCCTCCTCCTCCTACTCCTCCTCCTCGTCCTCCTCCTATCTGCCTCCTCCTCCTTCTCCTCCTGCCTGCTCCTCGCCCCCTCATTATCTCTTACTCCTGTTTCTCATACTGGCTGCTTCGTCCTTGGTTTCCTGATCCTCCTCATCATCGTTTCCTCCGTCCCCTCGCTTCCTCAGCATCTTCGTCATAATCCCTTGCTCATCCTCCTCCTCTCCCCTCCTCTTGAACCTCCCTTTTTTTCATCATCCCTCATCACATCAGTCGCCTCCTGCACACTGCCATCCCTTCTCCTTCGGTCCCTTTCCTCTTAGTCCTCATGCTTCTCTTCCTACTCCTCCCCCCATTATCCATCTTCCCTACATCCCCCTCCTCTTCCTTCTTAATTTGTTTTTCCTCCTGCCAGTCGTCATCTTCAACATATTTTCCCACACGCCGTTGTCTCATGTTCCCTCGTCTCATTTTCCCACCCCTCCTTCTCACTGTAGTTCTCTGTTTCCTTCTCCTGCGTACTTTGCCCGTTTCGTTCGCCTTTTCCCCCCCCTCTTCCATTTTTAAATTATCTTAATCCTCCCATCCTCATCCTCCGTCTCCCCCTCGCACCCTTCTTCCTCCTCGTCCACCGCGTTCTCGTCGTCCTCCTTGTGCTATCGCGCCCTATTCCTTCTTCTGGCGGGTCGTCAAAACACAATGATTGGAGCCAAGGTGTGTGGAGGTGGTATTTGCCTTGCCGCGCTGGCAGATTGCATATCTGAGGGGATTCGCCTGCGGGGGATCATGGCCACGGGAGCGCGGAGCCATCATTTTTCACAATGGGTCGTGGGATAGTTGGCGCCGGACTATCTCTTGCGGCCACCAGGGATCGTGATTTCGGTGCACGAAGCCAATGCTCTTGACCAGGGGTCGTGGCATCGGGAACGCCTCTCGGCGGCGCAGGTCAAGAGTGTTTTTGCGAGCCCCCCGGCGCCTAGGAGCTGAGGAAACGTGGTCCGGGCGTGCAAGCGAAACAAGCCGATAGCAGTAGTTTAGCAAGCAGGCGGGTTGCAAGCTTCTGTTCCGCCGACCACCGCAATTCCCACACCATGTCAGGAGCATTCGGCGGGACATGATACCCACATGGCCACCCTTTCTGGTGATAAGCAGGTGGGGGTTTGGATTTGTTGTTCGAATGATGTGCACTCTCGTGGGGCCATGCGGTGCCGGGCGATTATTCATCTATCCGTGCCTGGCCCATCTAGCACCCCTTTTTGACGGCAACCTGGCCTACTCAGAATGCGTAGTTCAAGTGTTATGGCCTAACCAGTCCTATTGTGTTACCCGGTCCAGACGAACAAGGGACAACCACCGTGACAACAATCGGGATTACCAGCGGGACAATCATCGAGACAACAAGCGGGACAACCAGCAGGACATCCGCGGGTCAACGGCGGGAGCCACGGGACATCCGCGGGACAACGGGGGGGACAACCGCGGGACAACCGCGGGAGCCACGGACCTACGAGGAGCGACTCATGCTTACGTGAACTGACCCTGTCTAGGCCAGGATCTGGCGCGCAGCTTAGCCCGCACGCTCGTCACCACGCACGGTCGACGGTGGTGCGAGCGTTGTATGCAATCTCGCGCTCAGATCAACGCCCGCCGCATGCGCCGATTGTTTTGAATCATCCCTTCCACGCAATCCAGTGACGGCGCCAGCGTTGGACCATGCGGCGACGTGTCGCGGCCTCCTGGGTGTACCACTGGAGGGAAGAACCGACTCGGGCGAGCTGGCCTACCTTGCAGGTTTGGTTGGCAGCACATCGTCCAGCGAGGTACTGCAGCCTCCCCTCAGCATAGGCCCGCCCCCAGAGCATCAGCCACACAAGTCGGGTTTGCACTCTCAAGCCGTGTTGGACTCTGGGAGCGTCTCGGCACTGCCATTGCCGCCGTCACCCCCTCGTCAAGGCCACCGACTCGGGTGACGGCGACAGCGACAGTGACGATGGCCGACGCGTCCAAGATTGGCGGCGTGCAAAGCCAGACTGCGAGGAGTTCGATAGCCTCTGAGCCTGACGGGGGGAACAACAGCACCAGCAGCAGGGAAGGGAGGCAAGACCGACAGATGACTCGCGCTGTTCCTGGCCAGGCCCAGCCTGGGTTCGAGGTCTGCGCACATGCCTTCCTCGCATAGTCACGAGGGCGTATACGGTAGCTTCGATGCGTGTCGTCGCGACGGCGACCCCAGCTCGGACGGTCAGGGGTTGAACGCCGCCCGTGGCCCAGGATCGTCCGACATGGAAGGATCTGTGCAGCCGGAACGCCGCGATCGTCCACTTTGCAACGATACATGCGGCGTCAGAGAGGCACGAGCCTGCCTCACACCGATCCTTTGACCAGCGCGGGCCCAGCCAGGATCGCCGCAGGCGCACAGCAGACGCATCACACATGAGACCGGCGTGCCAGCAGGTGCCACCGAAGGGTCCTGACCCCCGATGGCCTCAGGGTCCCGCAGAAGCTCTTGGGCACCTCAAGCCCCCTGACCCTCAAAGATAGACGAAGAAGAATGTTCCGAGATTTCTTGCAGCAGGATCTCTCAGTGTGCGTGCGTCTTGTACAGTCGGTGTCCTCCTTACCTCCGCCCTGGCTCCTCGGTCGGGGGGCTGCGGAGGGCTCTCCCGGGGCACTGCCGGCAGCGAGGAGAAGGTGAGCGCGGCGGATCCGGTGTTGCTGAGCCTCCGCCTCGCAGGGCGGTTTCTCTCTTCGAGGCCAGGCTGCCGCCGGGCACCTCCTTGAGCTTTTAAGGCCCCACGTTGTCGCGTTCGTTGTAGCTCAAAGAGTGGATGGCGGGTCTCCTCAAAACTCGGTTTGATTTGAACCTGCGCCGCTAGCACCAGCCTAGTGTGCATCAGCCTGGCGCGCCGTAAGCGTGCCAATCTAGCTTGCCTCAGCGCGCCCACGCCGAGCTCACCCGAGCGTGCTGCAACCTAGCTGGCCTTAGCTGGCTTTGGCGAAGCTTGTCCTGTCATACCTGTTCCTAGTCAGCCTTAACGTAGCACGCCCGATGTTGAGACCTGAACAGGGCAGTCTGGCGCCCGATTGCGAACATATCGTCGCAGGACTCGCTGTAGAATATGTTGCGCGAGCCGTAGCCGCCGAGCATGCTCCAGAGGCCAGGCAGGGAGAACAGTTGCGCAATCACAGCTCAGGTTTAATGTGATCCACCGTGTCATGGCCGCACGAGAACTTGCTCCTGCGCCGGCGTTCCCGTAGCGCTGGTTCCGAAGGAGCCGGTCTGCTTTGATCACACCCCGAAGCATCGGTATGACATGAATGCTATGACAAGTTAGGCCAAACTTTACATGAATCAGTCCAGAGCTTTCCAGAACACTCTCAAAGCGCCCCCGAACGCTCTGGAACGGCCACGGCGAACGACCTATCCTCCAGAACCGCCGAAACTCAGAGATCCCAGATTTCTCCCGATCCGATTTTGTCGTTGTGTGATCCCAGCAGCCGTCCAGGTCGGCGGCCCACTCACGGCTTGCTTCGCTGTTAATGCTCTCGCCAGTGGACTCCGCATCTGGCGGCGGGTGTTTTCGTTGATGGTCTTCGCAACTGGGCTGCAGCCAGCGCCGCGGACAAGAAATTTCCATCCCAGCAGGTGCCACTAGGCATCCCCAAGCTCAGGACATCCATGGTTGCCCGATGATGCACCCCTGATTTCTCCCCCCGAACATTGAAGTACTATCGAAGTCATGGCCTTCACATGCCATTGCTTTTGCTCAAGTATCCTCCTTCCGTACCGATATTGGATCAAGGAGGCTATGATTATCGTGCGCTTCTTTCACTGCCGAATGGACGCGGGACCTCTGACGGGCAGTATGATGATATGTGGCGTGATATTGTCTTTTTTCGTTTGTGGCGATTTCGCGAAAGCGGCACAGCCAGTCGTGACAACTTCACTTGGCCCCGTTGCCGGGAAGATCATGCACGATCATGCTAGGGTGTTTTTGGGCATCCCGTTTGCTGCCGATACGGGTGGTTCTCGGCGGTTCATGCCTCCTGCACCGCGCACGCCTTGGGAGTCTGTTCGGCCAGCTGTCGATTTCGCACCGGGCTGTGTACAGGCAGGAGATCAGAAGGGCGCTGGGGCTGACAATCCCCCAAACCAGTCAGAAGATTGTTTGAACGTCAATGTTTACGCACCGCTGGAAGCTCACAGCGGGTCGCGACTACCAGTGCTTTTTTTCATACATGGAGGCGCTTTTGTGGAAGGATGGAACGTGGGGCCACAGCATCTGTATGACGCGTCCATATTCGCCATGACGCAACAAGTGGTGGTATGTGTGCCCAATTACCGGCTGCAGGCGTTCGGGTTTTTGAATTTGCCGGAATTCCAGTTGGAGGGGAATTACGGCTTAATGGACCAGCGATTCGCTTTATCGTGGGTTCGTGAGAACGTTGCAGCCTTCGGCGGCGACCCCGCACGAATCACCATCGCTGGGCAAAGTGCCGGTGCAATGTCAGTCGGGATCCACATGTCGAATCCGCACGCCAGAGGCCTCTTCAGCCGCGCCATCATGCAGTCGAATCTGGGCGCTTTCAAATATAAGACGGCAGAGGAGCACCGGCCACTTGCCATGGCGTTCGTGCACCACGCTGGCTGCTCACGGCTTCCGTCTGATCAAACCGTCGAATGTTTGCGATCAAAAAGTGCGGACGAGCTCAAGACAGCGGTTTCCGAGGCGGAGAGCGACGTGTTTGCGACATTCAAAGGCACAGTTGCCGAGTGGGGGCATCTTCTAGACGTCGTACTCCCTTGGACCCCGACAGTAGGAGGTCCAGAACTGCCCATGCAAGTGCAGGAATCTTTCGAGCAGGGTCATGCGGCGTCTGTTCCGCTACTACACGGGACTGTCCATGACGAAGGCCTTACTTTCCTCGGGTATGGTTTGGAAAAGTCGAGCCGTTTAATTACAGGACTGGAGTACGGTCCCGTCATAGGCATGTTATTTGGTTCGGCTGCTGGAGAGGTGAAGTCTAGATATCCTTCACCTGGGCTGTTTGATAATGCATGCCATCAAATTGGTAGAGTTGTGACGGACTACTGGTTCAAGTGTGGAACGCAAAAGCTTGCATTATTCAATGCGCAATCTGGGGCAGAAACTTTCAGTTATCGCTACGTTCACCCGCTCACGGCTGCTGAGCTGGAGCCGTTCATGCCCGCGATCCCAGAGATATGTGTAAATAGCACGTGCCATTCTACAGAGGTTCCAGTTGTGTTGGGCTCATTTTTTCACGCAGTCATCCCTAATCCCCATGAGCTCGTCATCATCACCCAAATGATGGATCTTTGGGGATCGTTCGTCCACGGTCGCACGCCGACATCACCCGGACTTGCAAGTTGGCCAATATTTAATTCAACCCGCGTTACGCTCCTGCTCGGCGACCGCGTTAGAAGCGAAAGTGAGCGTGAACTGTGCGAGTTCTGGGATACCCTGAAGTATCCGCGCAGCCCGCAGCGGGATGTTGTGCAGACAGGCGTTGGGGCCGCCGGCTCATCACCTGCCGCGGGACATCTGATCGAGGTGTTCGACGTTTGAATTCGACGGTCTAGTTTCTCAGTTTCCCCAACAGATGCGAACGGCATTGCCCCAAATACACCCTCTCCCCATCCTACCTTCACTTCTTGTCCCTCTTTTCTTCTGCCCTCCCTAGTTTGCTACTCATCCCCACTGCGCCCCCCCCTCCCCGTCGCGTTCCCCTCCCCCTTCCCCTCCGCCCATTTTACCAAATACCACTCCGTCGGATACGCCCCTGTCCCTTCCTCTCTCCCTCTACCCCTGTCTAGGATGCAACTTCTGGGATATTTGATTCAGCATCGGCGCTGGTATGGTTATCGTGGTCGGAACCAGCTTACTCTGGCAACATTAAGTGCAATTCTGCTGAATTTCGCTTACTTTGGTTCAATATGGCATCATCCTGGG